TCCTGTTATTTGGTTACTCATGCAAATTAGGCAATTGGACATAAACATTGCCACGTGTGAGTGTTTTTTATTTTTAACCAGAAAATAAACAGCAATTTTAACGGTGTTCAAATAAGAATTCATTGGTCAAATTTTCACAGAATGTTCTTTAAATAAAAATCTATATAAAAAACGAAAAAAACTATTTTTGATTGAAATTCAAAAATGAACTGCATCTCTACCTTAAGTACATAAAATAAATTTCTCATGTTCCCTCAAAATATGGGTAGGTATTGTTAACGGAAATACAGAATTTATTTACAGAAAGTTTTCGTAGGTCAGGAAAAATTATTAAATTTCTGACTGGGGTCATTAAAACATTAAGTCGTGGCTTTCTAAAAATATGTCTTTGCGAATGCTCTTAATTCTTAGACTTTTTACAGTTATTTGTGTTCTTGATAATAATAATGATAATCTTATTATTTGTTTCTGCCAGCAAAAAATGGTTTTATGATGCCTATTGTATTGTTGGAATTGAGTGACATGATTTCATTTCGATTGCATGCTAAATTGTTACTGCAACAAATTACGCCTGCAACAAATTGTGCCTGCCCTTACATCAAACAGACCAATCAGAGAGCAGCTTGTTCCTTGACAATTTTTTTTTTCCAATTCTGCCTTGTATATACATGTATGCTTAGAGTTAAATTTCATAATAGTTTCTGTGATTCAAGATTCCTAGTGAAATGTTCACTGAATCAAAATTTCAGTGTTTTCCTGACTCATGAAAATCATGAAAAATTGTCTCTCAAAGATAAAGCATTTTTCAGCATATGCATGGTTTGATACATTTAGTTTTCTTCTTAGCAAATTCATTTCAAAAATGCTTTGTTTTCACAGAATCCAGGTCAAGTAAAAAGGGTGGCAAAGACAAATCACAATCAGGACGGAAAAACAAAAGGAAATCATCAGATGACGAAACACCAAAATCATCGCGGAAAAAGATGAAGTCAACTGTACAGTAAGTATTTCCACTGTTAAAGGCTGATATTAAATTATTTACGTCCCGGGTATGGGCGGCGCTTAGTATTCTAATTTGACTAATTATTTAACGACATCAACTGTCAATCGGTGTTTACCGATTGTAATGCAACAAACAACGCATGAGTGACAACTGGTGTTTATTTCACCTCTTATACAAAGTAGGCATTTTCAAAATTAGGTGAGCGGAGCGGAGCATACATGGTGCCCTCAAATTCAAACGTTCTTGTAATGCATTTTATTGGCAAAAGTAAATGGTCGTGCTGTAAAATTTTATTTATGCCTTCCTCGAACATTAATGGTGCTATTTACGTCCGAGAAATAGAAAATATCATACAATGAATCACTGTTTCTTGTGTTTTTGTTGCGCTTTTATTCATCGTTATTGCTATGGGTGAGGGCGACTTAATTTGAATACTAGTAATAGACTTTGCCCAGGCCTGTTTATGTAGCATGTTGGTCTTCCACAAATGAATTTGTTGAATAAATTGAAATGTTCATCATGTATGATTACCCGTCACATTGGTAATATGTGTCTGATAAAGCTGCTCTCCCTATTTTAACATTGCAGCTAATTTACATAAGTTTTGTCCTGCTCTTTTTAGGAATCAGTACATTGTTCACCTGACCTTTCATCTGAGCTATTCTTTGCCCCCTAATTTTTCGAACGAGATGGCAAATATATAACTGCACTGCATGCTCTGTAATTTATGATAGTTCTATCGTGTCAGTGAATGTTTTAAACCATGATAACTAAGGCATATACTTCATGTCATTGTTTAAACAAGGCCAAAATACATGTACATGACCAGTAACTTTAGGGATGTCGGATAAAAAACTTAATTCCTTTAGTTTTTTTCCAAACCCCCCTACCCCCCACTGAAACTTAATTGATAAATATTGGTCATGGCGTCAGACTACATTCACCATTAAATACAAATTGATAATCGGACAGTAGTATTGCATAGCAGTTGGTTGTCGGGTGGGTGTAAAAAGATTTTACAAATGCACCTCATTTGATGCACAAATTTACACTCGAACCAAACCATTTTTCTGTTTTTTTTCTCTTTTCGGTTATTTCTGTTCATGATTGGATAGAAAAAAACGAACTACAAATACTCCAAGATTTTTTTGACTTCATTAAAAAATAAAATCGTTTTTGTAGGATGGAAACTTTTTGAGGTCAACCCCCCCCCCACCAAACTAAAGGAAATAAGTTTTTTATCCGACATCGATCTTTTGACGTCGTCCCTTATTCTGATGTGTAAAATAATCATTGACTCGCCCTACTGACCTATTGCTATTATAAGCTAACAATGAGTGATATATGTCCCTTTTGTTACAGAACAGAGACAGTAACGCCGATATTGATGTTGCCGTCTGTCATCCATGCCCCATCAGATGTACTAGATATGCCTGTTGATCCTAATGAACCCACGTACTGTCTGTGTCATCAAGTATCATACGGTGAAATGATAGGCTGTGATAACCCTGATGTGAGTACCAATGTCTTTTAAAGAGCGGTAGTCGTCGCGCCACGCATGTGCGAGATATATGGGTTTCATATGAACAAAGGCGGTGACTTTGACTGTTGCGCAGATCGACGAGTACAAACTGAGACGTCACTAAGCTTTAATTAGGTATTTTTTAGGTTCTTGGAAGGTGTCGAAGAAGTCACCGGTGGTAATTAGTGCAAGTCGCGCCCAGGTCAAACCTCATAGATGTAATTTCCATTAGAAGAGCGTATTGAATTATGGGAAAATCAATGTTTATCAACACAAATGTCGCACATGTGCAGCATGATGACCACCACCCTTTAAGTACTTGATAATAACTATAATTGTGTATATACCATCTCACCACAAAGGTAAAATTATAGGTTTCATACCACAATTAGAAATGTTTCAAGGTGCAAGATTACTCGAATTTAATATTTTGTTTTTAGTCCCCGTTGATATAGTAAGAAAACAGGAACTTATAATCTCACCTCTGTGCATGCGTTTGTGTGTGAATTCACCCTCTAGCAGTAGTGGATAAAACTGCAATTAGAAATTCAGATAGCATCGTTTTGAGTTTGAGAATGTCATTATTTCTTATTTTGTGAGAAGCGACTATATACAAGTTTCTTTTTGATGCATTGACACAAAAAATGATGGCAGCAAATCAATTAGCAAAGTGTGCAATAACTTCATTACACTAGATACCATCAATGAATTGGTAAAATTTCGAAAAATCTATGAATATTAAACTGGTTAGTGTTGTGCCTGGACCGATTTCATTAAAACTTTTTGCACACATCGTATCATACATATTCACACGCTAAGGTTCTCCCCAGGTCACTTTAGCATAACAATGGACACAATCTAAATTATAAACATATTCTATTGTTATGTAATTAGCTGATATTCTATGATATTTTTCAGTGGGGAACACTGCTGATGCATTTATTTCATAATCCAATTCAAGTTTTATTGCTAAAATATTCATGAAGCGTTTTTGCCATTCCGGAACTGGATTTAGGTCGTACATGGATATATTTCATTTAAACTTGGTAGATTCATTAAACATGATGGATCTTCCCAGATTTGATTCAAAATGTCTGACTGATGGCCATTTTGTTTTTAACGAATGCTGTATTTGGATCTGGACTGTTCATGGGAACGCCATCATGCTAATTTCCCAGGGTATGCCATTTGAGTAGAGTGGTCACTTCATTCGCCTGTCACTTTTGCTACTTATCAATTTTGCAATCAAGACTATTTTGAACAGTTTTTAATCGATAGCCAGTCATTTTCAAAAGTCATGGTGTGATTTACTTAAAATTGATTTTCAGTATAGCTTATTCAAGTAAAAAAAAATGAATGTTTTCAATTGTGCAACTGCCCTCTCTGTGTCTAGATTTTCAGTGTCTCTCCTTGCGAATTGAGACAATAAATAAACACTCTTCTTTATTTCTTTCTTTCTTCAGTGTCCGATTGAGTGGTTTCATTTTGCATGTGTTGGACTTACAAGTAAACCTAAAGGAAAATGGTAAGTGAAAGTGCAACATTATAGTAGCATTTTTAGAAAATTATAATAAATTATAATGCATATGAATGTTCTTGTTGGGTTTTTGACATCATTTATACAGCTTAATTTTTGGTTTAAGCCTAGACATAATTTCGACAAAATTGGTCATAAATCGCATAACAATGTTCATTAGTTTATTATGTACAATAATGAAGCTAATGTCTCATGGTATAATGAAATAGCATTATTTTGTGTGTTACAGTTATGCTTTTTGAGAAACGTATCCTAATATTTCCTGAAAATTGCTATTTTTAGAACAATTCCATAGAACACAATGTTAAAAAAAAATTGCATTTTTTGACACTTTTTAAAACCGAGATTTTTTAAATAATTCAGAACAACAAAATGTACTCCATCATTAACAATATATGATTTTTTGAGCCTATGTCACCAGGCTAGATTTTGAGATATTGCATAATATCACAGCCATATGAACCTGTAGTAAAAGTGTTATAATAGTGTCAAAATGGCGACTTTCCACTTAAATACAACCATCAATTTCTCAAAAAAAATTGCTGGTGACCCCCAACTTTTTTAAGGTCAATATCCTTATACTGCAATGGAGTACAATTTATTGCAAAATGAATAAATTCTGGGTTTTTTAATTTATGAGTAGGCTTCTACCTTAAAGGACTTGTGTGAAATATTTGATCAAATATTTACATGTATACAAGAATTGTTGGGATTATTCAGAACAGAAGTGTGTCTTTTTTTAAAGTGGGAGGGTCGTCACCTGCGCAATCACAGGAGTTGAGTCCCAAGCGACAATAACAACACACACTAAAAATGCAAAGGCTCATGGGTAGACGCTTGTTTGTAAACAATGACACGCTATGGCCATCTGACGCATGCACAGGTGATGACTCCCCCCACTTTAAAATAAATATAATTTCACACACACAAAAATATAGGAAGCTGAAACAGTGTTTGAATGCTCTGAAAATTGTTGAATTTGTTATTACGTATTTCCCAGTATTTGTACTAATTAGGACCATCACATAGATCACATACCATATTTGCTCTATTAGAAATGCATACAAGCCAAAAATTGGATTTGTCGACTATGATTAAAATCATTAAAATATGATTTACTTTGACCGTAGAAACACCTCTGTAACTTACTAGGCGTTTTTCTATTGACGACCCAACCCCAACAGAATATATCTTGTATATAACTCTCCAACTCTACTGCCTAGCACTTTGCTGTTTCAGTGCCTTTGTTTTAAAAATGTTTTTTTTTTTAATTGCTTTTTAGGTATTGTCCAAAGTGCACACAAGAACGAAAGAAGAAATAGCATTAGAAGAAACTTGGATATTTTATTACCCCTAAAGAGAAAAGATTTTACATTTTAGAAGGCATTCCCCTAACAGGAATTTTATCTCCTAAGAATCTATTTTTATAGTTGATTTACACAGATATGACAACTTTGAAATATCATTCCTGTTGAAAATCACAAGTACACCTGTAAATAGCAAGTTATGCTCGGGTTTTACGAGCTCTGTTGTGATATGTATTCACCTATCAACGTTATGTGCTATCCTGACATTTGTTTCTACCCACAAACGTCACACATCCTGGCACCACCCACTGTGGAGTAGTAGGCATTATGTTTGACCCAGAAAGGTCTCCCATTTCGGTTATTCTGAGAGGGACTATTAGTGGGAATTTCTCAATTTATCCTTCAAAATACAGTTCACCACTGCAACAAGCAAGGTATAAAAATTGTTCTGTTGTACAACATGCAAGGAGTCAACAACCACTGTTGATTAGACATTGCAGCACCTTTGGGGCAATACATGACAAGTATTCCTACTGTGAGCTCATACAAAAATGACACTTTGGTCAGTTATAACTCCCCTCCCAAATTTTAGCATTGACATTTTGCAAATATAAAAATCTCATGATCATACCAAAATATTAAAGCTTTTATGGGTGAAAGGCTGTAATATGGGGATGACATTAAATGGGTCGATGAGTTGTACTAAAAAGGTCAGTGGGAATAATTAAGAATGTCGCGAATAATAGAACACATTATTGGAGATTGGAGAGGCAGGGGTGCTTTTAGTTCTTTGTTCAGATTGTGAAAATATTTGAACTGAAGTTTTGGCGAGAAAAAATATCTGGCAATCGAAGGGTTAATGCACTGGTACTCTTTGATAGCAGAATGTTATCCACAAGTCGCTGCTATTATTGTTTGCAGCTCAGTCTCACCAACACATATTTTATAGTTAGCAAAGGCTATTTGATACTTCACCAAATCACTGCAATGACAATTGAAACAGGCACCTGGCTATCTGTGTGATTAAATCCCATTGTCACTTTTGCTTGGCGAATCAACCCTTGGCCTTGTCAACAAAACAAATCTGTTGCAATCTTAAAACTGCACACATTCAGTGAGCAAAACAGATTGATATCTTTTTGGTCATGTACGTACATTTATGTCTTAAAACCTTTTAAAGAATTTTAAATTTGTTAGACACTGGGAGACTTTTTCATTAAAGAAAATGTTGGCAAAAGTGTGTTACTGTAGAATACTTTATTTTCGCTTGAAATTTATTTTTGCTTCAGTGAAAATAAAATCCAGCGAATATACTTTTTTTCCTATATTTCACATTCAACTCATCAAAAATCAGTGAAAATATATTCCAAACAAAACATCATAAAGCCTTTCAGCGAAAATTAATTCCAGCTAAAATAAAGCATTCTACAGTATTATATGGGCTCTGAGGGCAAAAAATACTTCTACCTCCTACAAAAAGCACATCTCCGTCAATTGAAGTTGTCAATGGACGTGTTAAAAATCTTGTTTTTAATTAAACCATGTACAAAAAAAAGGTTACTTCTGTGGTGTTAATCATAATTTATTTGAACTGTGTCACATAACCAATTGGTGGAGTAAAACCACTTGATTTCATTGTGCATTTACAAAGATCTTTTATCCTATTTTGTGCTTCAAAGCGTATCATTTACTTTGACAGTTTTTATAATCATTTAGAGAAGAAAAAAAAACTTTTCAAAAATCTTCCTTGGACAAAAAGGAATCAGAGTAAACCTGATAAATTATAATAGATCTGTTGTGATTCCTGTCCATTGCTCATAGTATTCAACATGTACACTTGAGTCTAAATTTGATTTGAATGGGCATTAATTGCTTTGTTTTTTGTTTACTCTATACAGTAAATTATTCACAACTTTGAATGCTAATGTCTCAAAATAATCTTGCTTAAGTGATCTGTTATCAGTAGGAAGTTCCATTTTTGTAAAAATTTGCAGAAAAAATGTTGGGAAAGTATTGAAAAATTAAGGTTCAAAATTCGAAGACTGAATGTTTTGAAAAGGTGCACACACTATATTCAAGAAAATTTTGAGAAAGTAAATTTGTGTACGGTATCAGTATGCATTTTACACGAATGAGTGATGTATTGCGATCAGACCCGAGTGTAACAATCTATCTTTTGTAATTAATATATTAATCGTATGCCTCTGTGTTGAAAATAGAGTAGAATTACAAAAGTTTTTATTTTGAAAAACTATGTCAGTATTTATTAAATGACTGTAAATGGACTGGTATCTTGTCCAATTTTTATTGTAAAACTTTTTTTTTTTTTAGCAAAGTCATTTATGTTGATTTGTCTTGTTTTCACATTTAAAGTAAATGCTTTGTACAGCTGTGTAGCTGAAGATGTTGGTTAAATATTTGTGGGACAGAGCGTGTATCTTTCGAGTCTGTCCAGACACACTACGGGTATGAGCATGTTCATACACATGACAGGTACGAGTGTGCTGATTAGGCTAAAGGCTACTGAGAAATACCACCAAAAAACTACTTGTTCATGATTAATATTATGCTCTAGTATTGTCAGCTCTGCTAACATGAGTAGTGGTTGTACATATATGCTGTCATCAAAGGGACTGATAAAATAGTATTTTTTGGTTTGTTGCATCTAATCCTCTGAAGAAATGACTAGACGGTTTCCCATTTTAGGCTGGATTTTCATTTAACCACTTTTACTGTATATATGGGACAGGCTGTATCTTATTAATGTTATTACGTCTTACTGCAAGGTTATGTAGCACTCTCCATAAGTCATGGGACAAGTAGCAACCACCTGTTTTCTAAAACCAACAAGATTGCTGTCAACTGTATTATATGCTCTAAAATTGACTTTATTGTGATATATTTTGTGTTTTATTGAATGAACTGTTTAAGCATTGTTGCAATAAAATAACTAGTTTCCATTATATAGTGTATGAGTACAATGGTTATCCATTATAGAAATCCTTGATTTATGGCTTTCGCAAGCACTAACACTTTTTAGAACTATCAAACAAATATGAAAAAATACATATTTAAAAAAAAAAATGAAACTAGGATTTTGTTTTATTTGGATTTAGCAAAATATTTTTTCAAAGTAGAAATGACTAATGTTGTAGATGGAAAGAAAACACTAGGATTATTGTGCCTTTAAGTGCATTTAAACTAATATACACAAATTCCCCTGCAGATAATTTGCAATTTTACAATGAAGATGTACTTTACCAAAATGTCTAGCATAGGATAGACTAGAGGAGCTTATTTGTGTGCAGCCCCCCCTGTAAAAAATTAAGCACTTCCTGGTGCCAGTAAAATTGGTTACCCAAAGGGGTCCAGTGTTCCTATCCATGTTTCACATCACTGAGGAATCTGCAGGAGATTGTTACAGGTGGGGGTAAGGGCAAGTGTGACATCACCATGCAAAATTCCAGTCTATGCGAGCAATTTGTGCATTTTACAATGATCAGACATACTTAATTAATTTAAAATCTAGCATTGGATAGACTAGACGGGAGAGTACAAATAATACCTACGGTGATCGATCTGCCAGAGATTCGGGCCATCAGTGTGGCTCAACTAAACTTAAACGAGCTGATCCTAAAGAGCGCATTAAACTTGCCAGTTTGGTGTAATGGATTAGAAGTCCATGTATGGGACATAGTTTGGTGGAAACCTGAATTAGTGTTGACCAAAATTAGAAAACAGATTACTATCACTAAGAGTTACTTTAAAGCTAAGGAATAGCTTTTTCACAAAAATAAACATTGCACCATGGGTAAATCCCTGAACAAGCGTCTTATAGAATAACGCAACTGGGAAAAAGAGATTGACACTGCACACTCTAACTTGTGCGATCTATACAAATAATATCTAAAGGTATGTACACTTTCGAAATATTGCTAATTGTTGCATGAATTTCAAAGCAAGGAGTCTTAATTCATATGTATGTATCAGAACCAATGAGAACAGATTTGAGTCTGCGACTAAATTGGATTGGTAAAAAAATAGTCAGTTCTTTAAAAC